GCGATGCGTGCAAGCTCCCAGGATCGCAGAATAGGGCCAGCCTGTACGTGTGCAGAAAAGCATCGTTTCAGGACGAAGCCTAGACAGGGCCCCATAATCTACTACTGTCCGCTAGAATCCTGCTTGGAGGGAGACGTATCCGTTCCTATCCCGTGAACTCTTTCTTGCCGGCGCTGCATGCGATCCCCTGGCGCTGCAGGGCGCTTGTTGGCTGCTTCCTTCTGCTAGCCCCCCTGACTCGAGCACGCTATGTGTAGAAGCTCCTATATAGGAAATCTGATATGCTGTTCGCTGTGATCTGAGCTTTGGAACATACCTCTGGCGAAGCCGCTAGGAACTCATCACATCCAGTTCAAACCAGCATTGCATGTTTAACCGAGCTCAGGCATGTTCCTGAACCTGTGCAACGACCTTGTTTGTCCCTATGCTCGCCTCGCACGGAGCCACTGGTATCCAATGAATGCTTTTGTCTTGGTTGCACCACTCCCGCCATTCCCGTGCATGGAAGTGCGAATGAGGCCGGCATGATGGCAGGCTGGCGCACGAGCGCCTGATCAGAAGGCTCTTGTCCCACTTGAGTGAACGTCATGCCGCTGCGGCTGTCACAACCAACACGTACTAGCAAGCATGTGATGCAACTAAACGTTGCTTTTGGTCCAGATGCACACACTGTTGCCGCAAGAGCGCCGGGCGATGCAATTCAGGAAAGGAAGCCCAAAGCAAGCTGGAATCTCATATAATCTGTGACATGCAGAGCGTCAAACAATTGTAGCGCGGCGACCAGTCTGCATCAGGGCTCTCTGCCAAGCTTGGACCATAGCAGAAACAGGAGACCCCAGTTGCCGCTCCTCCCCACAGCATTTCATTGCTGAACGCAGCCAGCCCGGAAGCCTTTGGACACTGTGCTGTCAGTCAGGAGCTGCGGCATGCAAACTGCACTTGCCGGGGCATCTGGCCCTTCGCTCATCAGCCGGACCAAGAGAGCGAAAAGGCTTTCGACGTCGATGCACCAAGTGAAGGCGAAGGAGGCGAAGGCCGCGAAGGAGGCGAAGCGGTGGCCCGGGCCTAGCCTAGGCCGCCAGAGGCGGCCGTCGGAACCCGTCGGCTTTTACGGCTCAGCGGTGGCTCCGCTTGGCTTCAGGCTATCATGGGGTTGTCACCAGGCGGCCTGCTTCTCGGGTTTGGTCTGTGTGCTGTGTGCTGCGTCTTCCTGCGGGGGAAACAGGACTCCTAAGTGATGCGAAAGTCGCTTGCTCGCACTCGCAAGAATCAAGCCATTCGGGCTCCAACACGCGGCTCATAAACGACCAAACGACCCTACTCACAAGTACAGGGCTGCTCCGAGTTTTCCGGGTAGCGGGGTTGGAAGCAAATTTCCAGCTGTTTATGTATATTGCAGCCCTCCCGACCGGCGCTGTAGGGGCAGGGTCAATTTGCAGTTGACGGGCCTTGGACTGCCCTGAGGATATCAAGGCTGCGAAAGCCCTGGCCTCTTCGGCCCATCACTCCGGGAGCCTCTACAGATTGGGGCTTGTGGCTCAAGGTCTAGGGTTCAAAGATTGTGGCCTGTGGCTTTCAAAGGGTTCGACGGCAACTGTGAGCGAAGAAGGAAATTTCGGAGTTTTTGTGTCTTCCAAAACATGCAGAATGAAGTTTTGAGGTGGTGCGAAATACAACTAGTCAGGAAAATCAAGTAATCCCTGCGTGTGGCATCGAAAACACGTCATCGGGGGGTTCCTGCATGCTCCAACTGCTGGAAACTTTTCGCCTCTGGGCTTTTCCCATCTGTCCCACGCTTTCGACTTGACGACTGAGAGCAGCCGTCGGCGCTGTCTGGGAGCCAGGCGGCATTTATCGCAATTCACGCGGCGTTTGCCATCTTTTGATGACTTCCTGTGCATAGCAGGCCACGCGGCTCGGAACTGCTCCGGCCGGCTTCTAGACTCTCCACCCTGCGCTCTCTGCCCATGCACTGAACAGGTGCAGAACAAGCTCCAGAGTGTACTGTACGGGCCAAGCAGCCGCCAGCACACGTAGTCGTGTCCGGGAGCCATTTACAAATTCGCCGGTGCGGATTTCACCGTTGTTACACCTTGCCCTGTAGCCGCTTTAGCCGTTGAACCCTGCCCAAAGCAAGCCACTGCTGCAGCACTCTGACAAAACACGCTAACTTCCCCTTAACATGTTCAGCAACGTGCTATCTGCCAAGCGATGGGAAAGCAAGCCTCGGCAGACAGGCGCCCCAATTGCTACATTGAGTGGGCAGTTGCCGAGCAGCAGCAGCGGCAAATGGGGGTTCATGCCTGACCGCATCGAGGGCCGCTGCAAGGCTCAAACGTGACTATCATTGGCAGCTGCTGGCAGTTGCAAGACTTCGTTGCTGCAGCTGACATGCCTTTCCAACCGGAAAAGCTGCAGCTGCGGGAAAGAACCTGGTCAAGAGGAAAGCCACCACATGCCTGACTTCAGCAGAGTGGCAAGCCAGGCAACAATGCACTTGCGCCATGGGCATGCAACACCCACGAGGTGGCAAGGTCAGCTCGGACCGTCCCACGCAAAGGAGGTAAATGGAAAGACGACGAGGCTTACCAGCGCAACGTGTTGTGACCCACGGCTGCTGGAGCGCTATGTCACCTACCGGAGACGGGGTCGCACAGCCCAGCGACAAGCCAGTGGTCCATCGATGCTACAAGTGTCTTGGTAAAGTGTAACTGCGGGCCATAAGACTCTCCCCGGTAGAGGGTCGCAGGAGTTCATGTGTTCTTGTCAGAAGCTGGCCCTTGCAAACTGCCTGCCTGCGAAGGAAACCAAGAGGAGGCCCCAAACATGCATGGCCCATCTTGCGTCCTAACAAGGATGGAGAACCAGGTCGAGCTTCAACACTGCCTTATGAATGAAAAGAACTTCGCACTTCTCTTTATCGAGAAACAACCCCCTCAAGCCACAGTCATGCATCCTCAGTCGGCATCCTGCAGCAGCACGTCGACGCTGTGCTCGCTCAATTCTTCCAAGCTTTGTTGCCAGCAGCCCACTCAAGCCCTTGGGGTCACGATACTGTGACACGGGTATCGCATTGTGACTCGCTTGTGTATGTCTGCCGCGATGTGCCAAGTCCGAGACGACGTTTCAAAACATCTGAGGATCATTGGAAGGAGCGTCAGCATCAGTTCAGCCAGCGGTTCTTTATAAGGATGAACTGAGCAGCTGGGAGTGGCTGCAGCCTCCTCTTCCTGCCTCTCGGCTGAGCAGCAGCGGCGCACGGAGACGGAGAGACGAGCCGAGGAAATGACAGTTAGCTTAGGGAGTTCCATCGGCTTTTGGTAAGCTTCGCCAAGGCTTATGATTTTCCAGCGGAGAATGCTTCATCCCGCACATCAAGGGCATACCAGCTCAGGGAGGCCCTCCGCAAGCTTCGCATGTGTGCTTCAATGCTTCGGTCTTGCAACTTCTGCTCTTCGTTTCCTAGTGAAGAAGACTTCTGGCACGCGCTGGGCAGGGAACCTGTGAGCCGACATGGACACTGGCACGCAGTTGCCTGCAGCAGGCGGTCAGCAGGCCGAGCCGCCCCACAGCTCGCAACACGCCTAGGCAGTATCCGAGGTCGCAGCGGTGCGGCTCATGAAGGCTTGCTTGTGGGCCGTGGGGCATTCACATCGTAGAACTTCAAGGCGGTCCACTGCTTCATGCCGTGCGTTCAACGCAATCGTGGCTGAGCTAGCAGCTGTGCGGACTTGTAGAGTCCGAGCTGCATCGCTTGCTCCCTCATCTGCCGGTCGAACCGACAGTAGAGAAGTTCCGTGCACGCACGACTGCACGATGCGGATCGACGAATGCTGGCGTGCCGAATGGCAGCAGGCTCTGCTCTGCTGTGCAGTTGGCTGTCGGCCAGGCTCGTGCAGGCTCAGAGGTGCTGCGAAGGTAGCTACACAGGGTCAAAAGCAGCTAGCGTAAGCCCAGCCGACGATGAAGTACGTGGAATGCCAGGCTCAACTGTTGGAGATTCGCTCCGTAGCAGCCGTGACAGACCTGATTCAAATCGACTGCTCTCACCTTGCTATCCTTCAATCAGAATGCTTCATCCCCGAAAAACGAGAACTACTTGCTCAACAGACAGGGACTTCTAGGAAACTGACAAATCTTACCTGGCGAGTAACCTGGTGTGATCCATCACGTCTTCGCAGGCCGACATGGCTAAGGCTGGGTCTGGCATCTACACCATATACAAACAAACATCACCTTCTGTTGAATCTCCCATCTGTTATTTTGGCCTTTTATTTTCCTTATCGAAAACCGCATGTAAAAGAGAGAGAACATGAGAGCAAGCTGGAGTGAACATGTTGCGAAGTCAGGAATGCAATCACTCAACTTGCAATGCAGACGATCACTCGCGCATCTTCATTTTGTTCTCGAAACGGGCACAGGGGTTAACAGTCTCGTTGGAATCAGAGCATGCTGCAGAAGGGCGGAGCCGAATGAACGGCATGCCACCACTCCGAGACAGCAATGCGTGACACAGGGGCAGGGCGGGTGGGACAAAACACACATTGGTGAATCTACACAAGGGTTTCCCGCCCTCCCTCCCTTGAAGAGGGAAATGTTTCAGCACAACAAGTGTTCGCAAAGGCAACACATTGACGTGACTGAAAACAAACATGCTTGGTTTTAAAACAAAAGTTTCAAAACCATTTTCGAACGGAAAATAAAGGGTTCGTCCCTTCAAAACCCAACCTTATTTTCCTTATCGAAAACCGCATGTAAAAGAGAGAGAACATGAGAGCAAGCTGGAGTGAACATGTTGCGAAGTCAGGAATGCAATCACTCAACTTGCAATGCAGACGATCACTCGCGCATCTTCATTTTGTTCTCGAAACGGGCACAGGGGTTAACAGTCTCGTTGGAATCAGAGCATGCTGCAGAAGGGCGGAGCCGAATGAACGGCATGCCACCACTCCGAGACAGCAATGCGTGACACAGCACCACCGCCCCACTTGCAAGCAGTGTCAAAGCGGGAACGGATGTCGCAACACTGACCGAGACGCTCCCATGGCCACAAGTTGACTGCAATCACCGCGACTGGGATTGTCTGCTATGTTGCTCGAAGTTGGCACTCTCCCGAACCATAACCTGCATCGCGACGCTTCTTCGAGCGTGACACAGGCCTCAAGGATCGTGCTTCCCGGCAAAGTACCGGATTTGCAAGAAGTGAACGCTCCTCGAGCAGCTTCGTTATCGATGTACAAAACGGAATAGGTATTGGCCAACTGCTCTGACCAGATGGACAGAGCGGCCCATACTGCAAGCATCTCGATTTCGTATATAGGATGCTTGGAGGTCTGGCGAAGTTTGTTCAAGACCCGATCCGGGAGATCAAGGCTGAGGAAAGAGAGTGCTGAACCACTCCCATCAAACAACGCACCACCCAAACTAGCAGTCGGGCCCTCGAGACTACCATCAGTGAAGATGATGTACGTGCGACCCATGTGCCTGTCTAGGGAAATGGACTCTGCGTGCAACGCAACATCCTTCAGGTAAATCAAGGCTTGCCGCAGCCCAGGATCAAGCTTCTTAGAACAGCCGAAGCCTCGGGCACGACGGCTCAAGACTTGCAGTGCCAAGCACGATCGGCGGCCAAACAAGAAAGATGAGAACCAGTGCATCCTTCCACGCATGCGGTCTGCCTCGGTCTGACTGATCGCATCCCGGTCAAGCACATCTTGAAGTGCAGCGGACAGGGTGGCAATCCTTTCTTCAGTGTGTTTGAGCAGAACGGTGCCATCGGTGAAGGATGAGAGGTCGACTAGGATCCCCAGTACTTTGAACTGAGCAGCGAACTCAACTGCTTTCTTGCCCGTGGTTGCATAGACAATGCCAAGAAGCCCGAAGAATCGATGAACAATGCTGCTCACGTCATCGGACAATTTGGCTTTGCACAGACAAGGGTAATCGTCAAAGTAGCATCCCCAAGCAAGCTTCAAAACCTGAGCTCCCAAGAACCAAGTCGCAGCCGCCGTCCTCAAGAATCCTGCGACGGAGCCTGTGGCCCCGAACGGCAGTGAGTTCACACCGAAAAGGCGGACCGATCCTGACTCTGTGTCTTTGGCCCCGATGCGCAATACACTCCGATCTTCTGTGTGCACCGCATACTGTTTGTATGCAGAAGAGAGGTCGTACGTCCTGCCAAGGATCGGGGTGCATCTTGACCTGACGTCTCTCATGGCTTTGACAAGAAAGGCACTCAAGAACTCAAGGCCATGGAGACGGAAGCGTTCCGGGAGACCAGTGGTCTGGTTGTATCCCGAGGCTTTGCAATCGTCAATCACCCGAACCTTGAGCGACTGCAGAATCCCAAACCGTCGTGCAATCAACACACCTCGTATGCCAAAGCATCCCGTGAAGTCTTTGGTTGGACGTCCCGATTGGGAGCCCTCGGAAATGCAGTCGTCCTCGCAACATGGGGCCTCGAAAATCCATCCCCGTTCGAGCTCAGCTTTGGTCTCTTCCCAAGCTCGAGTTGTAACCTCATCGCAAGGCTGCGCTCGCAGTTTAGCCAAAGTCGAAAGATTTCTAGACCTAGCAGTAGCAAGCTGCCTCTCCATGCTGACCGAAGGAGGTCGGGCCTCGGCCGGATAAACACCTGTCCGGAACATCCAGCCTGACAACCGAAAACCCTCACGCATGTGATCGACAACCTTGTGATCTGGGTATCCATGCTTGCACAGAAGGCGCTTCAAGAGTTCAGTTTTCTTGTCTCGAAGGATGTTTTGCACATGAGTGGGCCATGCCAGCCTCAATCCTTGTTCGTGTGGGTGGCTCCAGCTCAACTTGCAATTCTTGCCACTCGTCTAGGAGTTGAGCACTAGACTCGACCGAATCATTACCTAGCAAATTCTCCACGAGACGCTCAATGCTGGGCTCGTCCTGGTCCAAGAAAGACTTGGGGTGCCCCACTTTGACCGCCTCTCGAAGAAAGTCAAGAGGTTCCCGCGGGATGCCGATCCAAGCCACTTCGACCATCTGATTTTCCGCCGAAAGCCGGGGCCTTCGCATGCCACAGACACTAACTAACAACCCCACTTGGCAGATGCTCCTCAAAAGAACCAGGCCCAATGACCCAGTCCCCGGACATCCTATCAAGGGGCCCAGAATCTGACAGCAGTGGACGATGGCAAACACGGACGGCACCCCCCTTGCAGAGTTTGCGTCGGACAATGCGAGCTCCTTTCGGGTATGACAAAGCAAGGACCTGAGAGCGTTCGGCCTCGAGCTCAGGAGAGAAAGCCCAAGCATCGTAACTCTGAAATTCTGAAACAAGAGGTCGTCGATACTTGCCTTGGCGATCCAAGGCAACACGCAATTCTGTAGGAGCGGGGCCGAGCAAAGAGGTCGGCGGCGCCCGTGAGGTCGTCTGCTGAAGCAGCAGATCGGAAATGCGATGGCAAAGGAGCCAAGGGTATGCACCTTTATCCGTAGGATGCAGCATGGCATCCGAGGCATGTTTAT